TTTGTTATTGTGCCTACTTGAGAATACTCAGAACTTAACAGTTCAGATGAGTCAGTTATATAATGCATTCAATCTCTTTAGCTAAACATTTGTATCATGTACATATTTTCTAAAGATGTCTATGTCCATTCATTCACTTATTCTTTCAGTCAACCAATCATGCAAACATTTACTAAGTATTTGTTTTGTTCCAGGAATGCTCTAAACACTGGGGGAGGGGGATGCAAAGATGAATAAGAAATTTCTCTGTGTAAGTTTTCACCAAACCCAGGGTCTAGAGCTTACTGCTGTAAAATTCACTCTAGATTGGTACACAATCCATTACTTTAGCACTTTGAGGATATGGTATCAATCAGCTATTGACTAATCTAGTGATATATCTTATATTTCCATTCCCAGAATTTATCTTTCCCTTCTTTTTGAAATGAAAACAGTTGCCTATTAACACTTTTTGATCATGTGCCCCCTTCATGGCTATTTGTATAGTTCAATACCAAAGAGAGCCTCACCCCCTCCTAATGAACTCCTCCTGCCTCCTTGGATCCTACACAATTCTTCTAGTCCTTTCCCTCTACTTCAACCCAGAGGACAAAGGTATTGCCTGATTCTAGGATTGGGAGTCTTTCCCCTTTTCATTACAGGGCCATTTTCCTTATAAATCCTGCCCTGTAGTGCCTGTGGCCTTGTCAGGCCCATGTCAAGTGCCTCACTAGAGTAATCTGGCCCTACTCATAGGTCAGCAATAGCTTCCTATTAATGAAAATAGATCTCATTTATCTCATAAGACCTCAGAGGTTGTGGATTCAAATGCAGCACAGGAATTATAGTAAATAATCCTATATAATAAAAGCCTAATACCCTAAGTGTCCAGTTGTTCGTTCAACCAATCAAAGCATAATATGCTAAGGCAGCTTAACTGCTCACTATGACATGCCCTGACCACCAGGAGGCAGACAGTTGACTAGTCGACCAGTCGCTATGATGTGCACTGACCACCAGGGGGAAAGACAGTTGACCAGTCACTATGATGCGCAAGAACCACTTGAGGGCAGATGCTCTGACAGGTAGGTTAGTTTGCTGCTGGGATCTGACCTATTGGGACTGAGAGAGACTGGCTGGATACCCAAAAAGACTGGGGGCCCCTGCTGTTTTTCTATTTTTTTGGTTCTCAATGTGTCTCCTCAAATGCTAGGAACAACTACCTTAGGAGTTTCTATGGCCTCAAAGTGCTGGTATAAGAACTGGTGGCCACTGTGATCCTTTGTGAGAAACTTGACAGAGTCTTTAGCTTTGGGATTTTTTTCAAATAGGTAGATTTTATATGTGAAACCTTTGATTTTTGTACTCTAAGACATAGCTTCAAGTTTGGCAACAGGGAGATGGAGCCCTCTCGAGTCCCTCCCTGGCTGGCCAACCTCCTGTGTCCCTTCCCAGCCATGATCATGCACTGGTAGGGTCCCTTGGCCTGGCCTGCTCTTCTCACAATCTGGGCTGAGAGACACTCCCCCTGACCCCCCACCCCCCAGTGCACAATTTCATGCACTGGGCCTTTAGTATTATAATAACTATGTATGGTGCCAGATGGGTACTAGACTTATTGAGAGCATCAATTAATAATTTATATAAATGTCTAATCAATGGGTTGTACACCTGAATCTAATATAATATTGTACATCAACTGTAATTAAAAAGAAGATGTAGCTGTGTATCAAAAGTTCTAGGTAGCTGACTATAGATAATGTAGGTAAAATTTTGTTTTTAAAATGAAGTATGATGTACATGAAAATGTGATAAAAAAAATCACACATTTGATATTTATCCATTTCCCAGAGACCACTAGAGGTGATGGCTCTTTCCTATAATTCAACATGAGCATTACCATCAAACTTCTTGTCTCTCCAAATCCTGTTGGTTCTTCATGGCAGGCATTACCCATCCTAGCCCTGCAAGATCTCAGCTTTGGTGAGTCCACTGGCAAGTATTCTATGATCATATATAGTATGCAACTTAACATTTTTTATTCTACAGTCTTACTTGCTATTTAATGTATATATTCTCATATGTGTGGATGGTTTCCTGTTAGATACCTAGGTTTGGATGAGCTTTTATAGACTTTTTGGTTTTGATTTTGAAGTGTGTTGCTTCCTAAGCTATTTGTTCAGATGTATAATACAATCAGTTGGAAAAATAGCAAATGCTAATCTGACATGAATGAGTAACTCCAGGAGGAACTATCTTAAACCCCAAACCTTTTCCTACCAGGCCTTCATGGTACCTGAGTATGCAATGAGATTTTGATTTCTTTGGTTGTTTCCTAACAGTATTCACTTTGAAAATGAAAATAATCATATGTGTCTACCTCATTAAATTTCAGAAAGAGGCCAGGGATTTTAAACCAAAATATCTTAGGGGCTGATCTAGAGAAGAGGAAGTTCCAGAAATGCCATATGCCCTTCAATTAGAGCCACTCTACTTTTGTTTTATGGACCGAAACTATTCACAAACTTTATTTATAAGCCATTCAGCTGCATAAGGAATTATTTTTGAAAACTATTACTTTATGGCACTAGGTTTCAAGCTTTATCACGCACAAGAATCCTCTGGGAGGTTTGTTACCATACAAATTGCTGGCCCCCACCCAGATTTGGCAGGTATAGGGTAGGGCCTGATAATTTGCATTTATAACAAGTTCCCAGTTGCTGCTGGTGGTCAAGAGACCAAATACTCTGAGAACTACTGCTTTAGAGAAATGTATTAACAACTTCCCAGAATTCTCTAGGAAAAGCACTGGCAGGGGATGGGGGTTGAGGTTGGATAGGGAGTGGGAGAAAACCTCTAGAAGGTAATCAGTTTCATATAATAATCAGTTTTATTATAATCAGTTTTCATATAAATAATCAGTTTTATATATAGTTTTGTTGTTGTTAATCCTCACCTGAGTATATTTTTCCATTGATTTTTTTTAAGAGAGAGTGGAAGAGAGAGAGAAAGACAGAGAGAAACATTTATGTGAGAGAAACACATTGATTGGTTGCTCCTGCAGAGCCCTGACCAGGGGCCTGGGCCAGGGAGGAGCCTGCAACCAGGATATGTGTCCTTTACTGGAATTGAACCTGGGACCTTTGGTCTGTAGGCCGATGCTCTATCCACTGAGCCAAATCAGCTAGGGCTCAGTTTCCCCATTGATTGTATTTTTATTTTGAAGCCCTTCATCTTCATATCTACACTAATAAAAGAGAAACATGCAAATTGACCATCACTCTGCTATGCCCACCAGCCAATCAGAGCGAGCATGCAAATTAACCCAACAAAGATGGTGGTTAATTTGCATATACAGATGCGGAGTGAAGACAAGACAGCATAGAAGGAAGAAGGAGGAAAAGGAGAAAGCTGGGCATTGGTGGCAGTGGGAGGGAAAGCACAGGGCAGCAGCAGTGGCAGCAGAGGCTGCAGGAGGGAAAGTGTGAGGGGATGAGGGTGGCGAGAGGGAAAGTGTGGGGTGGGGGGCAGCAGCGGCAGGAGGGAAGAAAAAGCACAGTGGCAGGAGGGAAGCCCTGTTCTTGCAGGAATCTTCCTGCAACAGGCCTCTAGTAGAAAATATAAAGCCACTAATGGGCTCTCCCTCTTGAGGATACATCTTTATCTTTCTTTTCCCATCTTTTCCTTTGCCTCTTTTTCTTCTAAGTTCCAAAGGCCCTTCTTTTGTTTCTGTAACTTATATCTTGAGCCTGTGTAGCCCAGTTAGTTCACTTCTACTACCGCTCTAACTTCATAAATAAATTTTTCTTATAAAAAATAAAGTAACTGTCTGACACAATTTGAGCTTGCTATAGCAACAAAGTCTAACCTATTCTGGTGCTCTCCTCTATGAGACAAACCATCATATAGACTTAGACAGTGTTTAAAAAAAAAAAAAAGTAAGCAGTTACCAATCAGGGTTTCTGATTTCCATGCTTTGGGCCCTAACCAAATCCTAAAGGAGGGTTTTTCTATGCCTAAATCCTAATCACAAATGGGAGCTGCCATAAGAGATGTTGATTCAGGCCTTTCTGAAACTTTGTTCACCAATGTCATAGAATCAGAAAGGACTTCAGACAGGGCCCCTAGATAATACTAATATTGTGAATAATGGGTCATCAAGCCTAGGCAGTGTGATGCTGACATCAGGAAATTCTAAGAAGTTGGAGAAGAAAGAAGCTGACTCATCCTACTAAATGTACAAATCAATAGAATTAGACAGTGGTTACAATATAAAGACAATTTTATTGCCAATAAAAGCCTTTAATAACAAATTTATCCTGTTTCAGTAGGACCTTATTCTTTCTGATGAAAATCCAGTCATAGCATCTCTCATTAAAAATAAAATTATTTTGAAATAAATAAATATATAAAATAAATAGCATATACATTTCATAAATAGTTTGTCCTTATGCACAGTATCCATGCTTACATTTTAATAGCATTTTCTTTTTGCAATATTCCCCATTTCCCACTTCCAATGGCAGGAAAACTGCATGTCAGGACAGATGAGAAATCTGCAGAGCCAAATCAAGGATGGCTTGCATCAGGGCTGTGGCCTTGAGGATTTTTCTGAATGAGACTTTTCCAAAGCTCGGTAGGTAGCATCTGTGGCAGATCTTTTGGTCTTTCATTTACCCATTGTCAAGGTATTTGGGTAGATTGTGGAGCGAGGTACCCTTGGCCCTTGGCAGGGGCCCCCAGTCTTTTTCATACCACCTCAGGGGAAAGTACATGAGTAAAGAAAAAAGTATATACAAGATTCCCTTTAGCCCACCCTTCCCCCCACATCCCTCCCCAAAATAACCCAACTTTGATATACACTTTGAACAACAAGGGAACAGTTGGGTTGAGTTGAACAGTAAGTGTTTCTTTGCTATCTAAATTGATAGGAAAGACAATTGAAAAGCTACGAGTATAGTGCTTGCAGAGACAACTGTGGCCCCAAAGTATATGGGCTACAGAGGTCACCCTAGGGTCCGTTACCTATAGTGGAAGAGGTCTCTGGACATGGAGGGTAACCTAGAAGGATCTACAGGCCTGGGTAAAAAGTGAGTGAATTTCTGGTGTCGTTTAGTCCTGTATCCCTCCCGGGGTGAGCCGTCTTTATTCAGGGCCACATAATACTGTCTTTCCGAGTCCAGGTGTTTGTACAAGGTGGAGGCATAGGTGTTGTACCAGTTTTCTTCAAACTGTTCCCGGAAAACACATTCGCGAGTGAGTTTCTTCTGTGAGGGTGAGAAAATAAAGCAGAGCCCATTATATGACTATTTTCCCCATCCCAGCTTGCTGGTGGAGAACCCTGAAATAGCAATAGCACATTGATATTAGAAAATTTCAGTCCTATCTCCCATATTATTGAGGTATTTTCTTTCCAAATAGCAAATTAGTCTGCTTTCTATCACCTTTATTCTCTTTCATGAGCTACACAAAAATGTGTTAGGTAAGACCTTTCCTGAAGGCAGGAGACTGGAGGAGAGAGCATCACTTGGCTCTTTGAGCTGAAATTTTTTAAAAATTATTTTTTATTGAATATATTGGGATAACATTGGCTAATAAAATTATATAAGTCTCAGGGGCACAATAGAGCCTAAGGATGTCTCATACGGCTGCCCAATGCCCCACTGGCATCCCTGAGTTTTCTCCCTACTCAGGGCTAATGTTAAAATATATTGAGATTACAGTCAACCATGTCAACTGATAGGCAAAGGCCTTGGATCTATATTAAGTTCCACAGGAGGTGAGCTGTGATCTCTCCTGATGAAGGGCCCAAGGCCTGTCAGTTGGAAAGCTTACAAAAATCTCCTCGAAAAGTTCCTCCAATCTGGCTACATTAAGCTAGCAGCTCCTGGGTCTCTTGCCTCTGTCCCTTCTCACATTTGATCCTTAGTACTTGCTGGGGTTGCCGATACCGAGTGCTGGGGACAGGCCTATCGCTTAGGTGTCAGGGAAAAATGTGCTCTGATTTCAAGGGGTGTAGGCAGCCAGAAAGCATTCTATGTGACTCAAAGGATGCAGCCAAAGCCACGAGTTGGGATTCCCTGAAAGGGTTAAGGTCAGCAAAGTCACTCACCAGTCCCCAGCTCTTGGCTAGCTTCCAGAACAGAGAACATACACTGCAGCCAACCCAGTCCTAGCTGGAGACTCAGGGCTATCACCAGACCCTGGAACCCTCACTCTTCATTTATTTGTTTCATTTGGCCTTTGGGATTCAGCTGAAGCAATCTGGAAACCAGGGACTGTGTTCTTAATCTCAGAATTCCCAATCTGAAGGCCAGATTTTCCACTGCCTGTTTTTGTGCCAGTTAGTGTGCTACCGCTCTGGGCACCCATTAAAATTCCTATGTGCACCTCAAGAAAGCAAATGCCCCAAACCCATACCATCTACTAACAAACTAGCACAGCTTACTATTATCATCAGACTGGTTGCCCCTCTAATGAAAAAGGCAAAGCAAGTATGCTACAGTAAAGTTTATGTTTTCATGGGGGCTGAATGAGTGGAAAAGTGTTATGGAGCAAGTTCCTGGGCAACCACACATGACTAGAAAACACTAGACTTTATAGTTGACAAAAAGGATTTCAAGTGCTAGATTAAAGTATACCTTTGCCTTTCATTGTCCAAATACTGGTGGTAATAGCCTCTGATGAAAAGAAAATCTTAAACTTACCGATCCATATAGCTCTCCTCGTTCATTCATTCCTAAGTATAGGCCAGAGTCCACTCCCCGAATGCTGATCAGCCCCACAGCCAGGCTGATAAACTCCAGGATGCCTAGAGAAAAAAAGGTGAATGCCATTTCCATCACTAACATCAAGCTAAGAGGAAGCTCTTCAGGTAACATGAGCTACCAGTCATTTATCCACAACTGGAGGCCAGCCCTGGGTGGCTTTCATGAATGACCTGATAAAACCATCTTTTGCAACAAGAAAGGAACTACAGGGAAGACACTGAGTCTCTATGAACCTCAATTTTTCCATATATAAAATGGGGAAACAATCTCTGCCTCTAGTCAACACTCTTAGGCATATTATGAGGAAAATACAGTGAGAAGGCTTTGGTTACAAAAGCTCCTAATTGCCGAAACCAGTTTGGCTCATTGGATAGAGCGTCGGTCCTCGGACTGAAAGGTCCCGGGTTCGATTTTGGTCAAGGGCATGTACCTTGGTTGCGGGCACATTTCCCAGTAGGGGGTGTGCAGGAGACAGCTGATCGATGATTCTCTCTCATCGATGTTTCTAACTCTCTATCTCTCTCTCTTCCTCTCTGTAAAAAATCAATAAAATATATTTTTTTAAAATATATATTTTAAAAAGCTCCTAATTATAAGGAAAATAAAATATATATTTTTAAAAAGCTCCTAATTATAAGGAACTATTACTGTTAAATACCAACATTTTAAGAAATGAGATTGCATTCTTCCTAAATAGGAGAATATGGCCAGGTTTCTGTATCTCCCCAAAGTCATTTCTCTCCTTCCAGAGAACAGAGCATTACCTCCCTGTCCTCTAGGCTGAACTTGTTTTGCACCCTCTTAGCTCCCATGTACTTAAAGCCACATGAGGCTGTCAACTGCCTGTAGCTGATTCTAACAAAGGCCACACAAGCCACTCACAAGTTGTTTCTCCTGCCATAGGCAGGATGCAGAACTTGGCCTGGCAAGAGCTTTCTCCTGAAAAGTGCTTTCAGCCTGTACAGTCACAGGCTGACAAGCCTGTCATTCTCCCCTTCTCTCTTGAGAATTTTTAAGTTTATTCATGGCCAAGAGCTGGCAGGTAGCACTGGACTTAATACTGATTTGAGATGTTGCAAATAAAAGGGAAAAGGGAAGACATTCAGAAATGTCCCTCTAGCCGACAAGGATAGAGGTAAAGACTTAAAAACGTTTTCATTTATTGAGCAGCAGTAAGAGGAAAAAAGAAATCAACTACTAAGAGGGAAAAAGGACCAAGAACTGAAACACTGGCGACACTGAACACTTTATATATACTTTTATCCTAAGATAGCACCTCTATCAAATGGATGCAAATATAATGGGACGCTGTATTCTTCTGTGATATTCTGTGTCTAACCATGCTTTTCAATGTACAGAACAAAACTTGGTGGACTGACTCACAGAGGCAACCAAAGGTATGAAATGAGCTCATATCTGGCTGTCTTTCTTATTAAAAAAATGCAATTTTAAGGGTAATAATGTTCTATGTAATCTACATAGAAAGTGAGACTAATTCCTTAAAGATCACTTAAAAATGTAAGTGGTTTAATTTTGAAACCATGTGCAAAACTCCAGTGGGAAGTCTGAAGGGCCCCAGTGACCTGGGCTGGTAGGTGGTGTGCAAGTGTGGCAGCTTTAGGACACATGTTTCCACGGCCCATTTGAAGAATGTCAAGTTCTTTGGCTGCCATCGTATAACAATTTTCCAAGTTTTATTCCCAGTCTGGTTGTTACTAACTCGTATAGTCCAAAGAAAGAGATTTGGGCAAAGAGATACAAGATGGTAGGAGGTAAAAGAGAAAATACCTGGTGCCAAGTAATAGTTAAGCAGATGCTGATTTTATAGACCAAAACCTTTAGTGGTATTGCACAGCATTCTGATTTGGGTGCTTCCCTGTTTCACATTTTAATAAATGACTGTAAGAGGACATAGAGGGACTGCTTACCCTCGTTCCAGAAGACATACAGCTGAGAGGGTGACACAAACAAAATCCAAAGAGAATGGAAAAATGGACTGACTCCAGCAAAATAAGCTTTAGTTGGAATAAAATGTAAAATTCTGCACTTTGGTCCCCAAACCAACTACTGAAGATTTTTTTGTGTGTGTGTGTGTGTGTGTGGGGGGGGGGTTTTCTGGGGGAGGGTGAGCCTCAAGTGCAGACAGTTGAGTAAATCATACTCCTTTTCTTGTGTGTGTCCTATTATCATAATTGGCCTGTGCAAGGGCGTTTTAGTTATCTCTTTCTTTTTATTTCCATACTCTACTCCCATCCTCCTCCCCATTTTAGGCAACCATGTATATTTTCTTGAAAACATACTGTTCTTTTGTGTTTTCATGCATTTTTATCAAATGCAAGTCTGCCCGTTTCTGGAATGGGGAGATGTGCCTTAGCAAAACATACACAGCAATGGCTTAGGGGGATTTGATTGAATAAGGTAAGTCTAGTATGGGTGATTCATGAGATTATTAAAAAGCTAATGTGTAACTAGTCATGTAAAAATTAAAAAATATTTAAAAGCTAATGTAAAACGTGGGGGGGGGGATAAAGCTAATGTGATTTAAGGCTGCACTGATAGAGGTCTATTGACTGGCTTAAGGGAGAGGATTGGCCCATTCTGCTTTGTTTTTTAGTTGGACTGTGTTTAAAGAGGGCTACAGAAACATGGGAGTGTGTTCAAAGGCGAACAGCTAGTGTGGCAAGGAAATGAGAAACCAGGTCATGATTCAGTTCTGGGTGCTAAACTTTGAGGGATACCAACCTGTTGGAGCCTTCAGTGCTTTGATTCGTTTAGGCAGATTACTTCTGAGCCTCAAGTCTTAGTTCCCTCATTCTCTAAGTATCTCATGTCTCTAACCACCGTGAGCTCATTAAGTAGCAGAGGTCAGCTTGTGATCTCACCATCCAAGACCTGGTGTGAGAACAAATCATGAAACCCAAGAGGTGTGGCCATTTGAGTCACCACAGTTTTTCTCCAATTCTCAGTTAACATGATGCCAAAGGACAGATCATACAGGAAGTCGCTTGGGTTGTGTCCAGTAACAGGGGTCTCCAACAGCTGGAATCGTCCCTGCCCAGCTGTCTTTGGGCATCATTCCCCTCTGCCAACTTTCCTATTAGCTGGATTTAAATTGTGGGAACCCGGTGGCACATGATGATGGAACAGATATTCCTAAACCTTCTCTGAATCCCAGCCAGTATGAAAGGAGAGAGAAAACAAGCCATTTTTACATTTTTCCCAGCTACAGCTGGAGAGGGGTGTGAACAGGAAAGTGTTGAGGCGAAGTATTAAGTAGACAGAGATTGTCCTCTCCACTCTCACCCCCTTTAAAGCTCAGGATCTCTCTCTGCTCTGCTTCATCTGACCGGTCCACCTCAAGCTCTGGCCTTTGCTGGACAATTTCTGGACTCTTGCCTTCTTATACCTTTTCCCCCATGGCCTCGTTCAAAATGGATCATCCTGGGTCCCACTGCTTCAGAACTTAGTTAGATGACTGACGAAGGTGCCATTTGATCTGGTTCCATAACTTGCCTGAGCTCCCTCAGCCACCCTTTCAGACCTTCATGGCCAAGAGAGTGCTGCCTTGGCACCTTGCCAAACAAGAACCAGCTCACTCAAAACCCAAAGCAGCTGCAGGAGCCTGCTCCATCCCACGTGGTGGGAGGCCTCTCCTCCAACCTGGCTCCCCAACCCTACTGTGCCAATCCACAGGTGTCCCTCAAGAATGTCAGTATCTCTGTGAACCCCACGTTAATGCCATCAGCCAGGCAGAGGTTGTAATACTCCCGGCTACTGATGGCAGAACAGGGGGTGGCGAGGGGGGAGGATAGGCTGTGCCAACAGGTTATTATATGGAGTCGGGGCTGCTCTTGGGCTCAGTCTGACTTGTTCTGAACACATGGATTCCAGGGTAATCCTTGGGGGCCCTGCTCTCCAATTACAACAAATAGCTATTTACTTTACATGGCCTTCGGAGACTACCTCCTCCCCCCAAGCAGAAATCTATAATATTTTATATCTTAAGTCTGGCCTACTTTACCCTGCTGGAATGTTGACTGCTAAAGCACTTATGGAATGTTAAAGTTTCGATTTATTGAATACCCTGGCTGATTAACTCAAACGTGGAGGGAGGAGTTAGCAAACTCAAACGCCACCTCTTTCTTTGCCAAAAGCTAAACTGAGAAAGAGTAAACGTGTTAGAAAGTTGGCAGGGGAGGTTACAAAGAGACAGCTTTGACCAGCTATCATCTCATTTACAGGAAATACACAAAACTGCCAGGAAGCCAGGGAAGAAGGGAAGGGAAAAGGTGATGCCGAGGTGGTCTCAGGCAGTGTTTTTTAAAGACAAAACAAAAAAATGAAGCAGTCAGTTAAGCAGCAGTGAAAACATCCCTTCTCCCTGCCAGTTTTATTTCCTTTGGTTTCTCCTTAAACTTAACACCCTTTGCAGGCCTGAGAGATGAAAAGAAATCAAGATATGTCTTCAGGGAGGTAATTAAAGACCACTTATCCCAAGAGCCTATTATTGATTTATGTTGACCTTGTAGGTTATTGGGCTCAGCTTAGGCACAGAGTCAGACAGACACTTGTAGCTGCTGGGAGCCAAGCTCATAGTTTCTCCACCTCTGCTACCCCCAACCAACATTTCCCTATTATTTCATAAAATTTCTCTTATATTTCAGGAAGGAAATATTCCAATATTTCTAGGCCATTCTGGGAGTCTTTGGGGGGCTCTGAGGCCAGGGCAGGAGTCCCATTACCTCTGAAGAGAAACAAAAGGAGATTGCAAAGTCATAAGCAATGGAAGGAAAAGGAGCCAAGTTAGCACTCCTTCTCCCTCCTCCCCACCTTATCACCCATTTGAGGACGGGCTGCAAGTTTATACAGACACCTGCACCCCTCCATTACCCCCACCCCACACGCAACCTACTGCACTCCAGCTCTGTGAGTGCATTTTTCCAAGATGACATAGACCTCATTAGGGTTCCTGCTTGCTCCCCGCAAGGAAGACCAGCCCTAGCCCTAAGTTGTTTGCTAGACCTGGCCTCTGTGCACCTCCCCCCCCCCCCCATGCTTTTTTACTGTGCACACCAGCAGCAGCTCCAGCAAGGGATGGGGGGCAGGAGGATGAGGAGGCGTGGAGAGAGTGAAGGAGAGTGGGGGGAAAAAAAGAACTTAATGTGTCCGAACATAGTCAAAACCTCTTAGAGGCTTAAGGGTAGGTTTCCTTGGGCCACTGGGTCGTTGGGAGGAGGTAGGGGCATTGAGGCAAAGAGGGCCCGAGGAAGGATAGCCGTCCCAGCACCTGAAAAATGCTTTAGTAGAGAATAGGATATTGAAAATGAAAACGGCCAAATTACTGATGAGTGGACACATTTGTTTAGAAACCTAACGATCTCTGCCTCAGACCACGGTTTATATTGTGTTCTCTATGTGAGACAGGCAGCTGTGCCCTTTGAACAATTTGCAGAATGGTGGACAGAGAAAACCTTGGATGGAGGTGGACGGTTCCTGTCCCGAGCCCAGAAGACACCTGTTGCTGTTGCTGGGAGTGGGCCCAGGATTTTGCTCACTGAGGCAGGAGTCCAGAGGCAGCTCCAAGCCAAAGCTGCCCCAGGGCTCGTGCCCCTACACAGCGGACACTGGAAGGCTTTCCTAGTTTCTCGAATCCCCAGCCCATGCCCTGCTGCCTGGATTGGCCCCCACCCCGGGCAGAGCAACCCAGAGGCAGGCAGGTGCTGGCCAAAAGCGACGTGGGTGCGGGCTACTCGCCCCCACATCCATGGCCCACGAGGGCTCCTGTTCCAGGCCATCGCCCGCGACAATCCTGCCCTCGAGGCTCTGTCCCGCGCCGCAGCTGCTGTGATTCTGCTCCTACCCCTCTCCCAGCTCCACCTGCTCCCAGTCCAAGTACAGCATCCAGGTGCCAGAACGCTCCTCTCTCACTCAAGGGAGGAAGGGAGAGCGGAGTGGAGGAAGGAGAGGCAGCACCTCAAGGCGCCCGCGCCCCCGCCCCCTCCCTGGCGTCTCAGGGTGCCAGGCTCCCTGACGCCTTTCGGCTCAAGTCCGCACCGTCGTGTACCATCTGCCCCGCGTCCCTGGCGGCCATCCGCCTGGACGGCACCGAGCTGGGGGCGGTCCGCGGGGCCGGAGCCCGAGCTCAGAGCCGTCGGCTCCCCAGCGCGCCGTCGGGATGCTCGCCTCCCGTCCCTCCCGGCCGGGTCCTCACCGAAGCGGCTGTGGTCGTGGCGGGTGCCGTGGACCGTGCCGTTGGGGAAAATCTCCAGGTGGAAGCCGGTGCGGCAGTAGAGCTGGCGGCGCCGCAGGATCCCCTTCAGGTGGGCGAAGTCTGTGGGCGAACCGCGCTGCAGCTTCCCCTCGATCTGGCCCAGGCGCTCGTTCAGGAAACCGGGGGAGTCGGCTAAGGGCATGTTCCCCAGGGATGCGGAAAAACCGTGCAGATCCCAGTCCAAGGAGGCGAAGACCCCCCCCACCTCCGCCATGGCAGGGTGCGCGGGGCCGAGCCGGGGCGGAGGTGCGCGATCTGCCTCTCCCCGCGGCGGGCGTGGGCGACTCGCCGGCGCTCGCTCCCCAGCTCCTCGCTCTGCGGAGCTGCAGTCGACGTGTGTTCTCGTCCAAGGAACTTCTCAGCGGCGGGGAGCGTGGGGCAGCGCGTTCCTGACCTTGCTCTCAGTCAAAGTGCCGCTTTCCCTCCACGTCCATCTCCTCAGGCCTCTCATAGCTGGCTTCGTCGAGCGATCGGATGCAAGCGGCACTTTATATACGTACCCACTCCCCTTACATTGACATATTGGATATTTAAATACAAGCCACACCTCACTGGCATCCCCTCGGAGATTGGTGTGTGGGTTTTTTTTTTTTTTTCCTTTCTCCTTCTCGTATCCATTTGGCTCTTTTTGGGAGTGGAGGGGGGTGGAGTGGCGGGGGTGGGGGGGAAGAGAACAAGCGAGCTTCACTCCCTCTTTTATTGTGAAAAAAATGGCAGGAAAAAGCTACACATTGCAGTGAGGCATAACTGCTTTTGGCAGGTTTTTCTGAAACTGCTGATGAAATAACGGAGCCCAGTGCGTGGAGGCTGCTGGCGCCCACGACCACTCAGGCCTGTTGCGTGGACGTCTGTCCGCTGCGCGGGGGCAGTCCCCACCTCTCCCGGGTCCCCGGGCTGCTGGCTTTGGGAAAGTGGCCTGAGACCCAGACCGGGCGTTCCCGGGTTCCTGAGGCCCTCTTGTTTCCCGGCTGGCCAGAGGCTGCAGAAGGGTTGCCTGGCCCGGGACAAGGGCCTCCCCGGTTTCTTTGTTCTGTTGCCCACCCCGCAGCCTCACTCCCCACCTGCAGGTTGGACGGGGGTTGAGGAAGGGAAAAGTCCGGAAGCGGTGCAGTTGCAAAATTGGGGATTGGGGGTGCTGGCAGTCCCTGCAGGAACCAAGGCGCGGTCTTCAGGAGACTGGGAGGAGCGGGAAACCTCACGGAGGAAAGAAGACATTTTTTAAGGGACATTACAGTTTAGGAGATGGGGGGGGGGGGGGGGGGTAAGAAATAGAAAGCGATCTTTTAGGGGGAAAAAATGATTTCCACTGGCTTTGTGGGCGTGCTTTTACAGGGCTCTGGAGAGCAGGCTGGATGAAGGGCCATTGGAAACCTGGTCAGGGCTTCCCTCCACACCCCTTTTCTTGTTGGAAACAGGTGTTTCCTCGCTCTGTCCCGTGACCTGCTCAGAAATATTCTATCAGAAGAGCGGCATTTGGGGCGGGAACTGGCAGCAGTCGGGGCAATGGGCAGCCTCAAGAAGAACTGAGAGCAGGTGCCAGGCCTTCCCCGGGACCCCCCGCCCTCCTGCCAGGCACCTGAACCCTGGGGCACTTCTAAGGTCCCGGTGCTCAGCGTCCTGCAGGCTCATTAAACTGCTTTGTTGCTTGCAGTTTGTACTCTCCGAGGGCTCTGGTAGGCTTTTTCCTGCTCTTATGGGAGAAACAGAGCAATCACCCCCTTGTCCCGCCTTTGCAGCGCCTCCTGCTTGAGAATCCGTGTCTTGCGGCGAGTTTGAACCCAGGGTCTCCATTAGAGAAAACAGATTCAGCTCAGTTCAGTTAGTGCACTTTGAGGTCCTGGTCCTGGGCTCCCACTGCACCCCTTGCTCACACTCTGGTACCATAAAAATTCTTGGTTTGGAACATCATGTCTTAGTTCTAGTGTGTCCCCTTAGCTCAGCCAGAGCCTCCAGAGCCAAGCACAAGGTCTGGCACATATTAGGTGCCCAGAAATCATCTTCTGATGTGTTTGCTCCCAGTAGTAGGGCACAGATGCAAATAGTCTCCAAACAGAACTGCAACAGATGGCCTCTGTAGTGGAGTATTTACGGATGAAATTCTGGGATTTGCTTGAAAATAACCCAGAGTGAGAAGGCAAGAGTGGAGGTATAGACGTGACAATATTATTCATGTGTTACTACCTAATTGATGAAGCCTGGTGATGGGTACATGGGTATTCATTATATATTTCTTTTACTCTCTAAACACACACACACACACACACACACACACACACACCACATACACATGCATGTGCTGCATTTTTCCACAATAAAAACTTTTAAAATGGGACATAGAACAACAAATAAACCATTCCTTCTTTCTTTATTCTGCCATTCGAAGAGTTTGTGGATAGTAAGAAAGTGAGGGAGGAGGGACAGAGGGTAAGACAAGTATATAAATGACTAGAAGGCAATATAAGGCAGTATAAGGTATACAGTGCAGTGTGGACTCAGAAAGCAGAGAGAAGGCTGATCCCTGGGTTTAGGGATAGGTTCTGGACCAAAGTGGCCCTTGTAATGGATGGGCTGGATTTTGCCAATTCAGGTAGTCCACTACCAGGAAGAGGAAAATGGTAACAAAGAAGGTGGAACAATTTTAGTGAATGTTAAATGAAATACTGTAGATAGAACTGCTTTGAGAAATATGTGACATAAAGGATTTAGATGCTTCTATGATGATATAAATGATGCATTGATAATGGTGGAAGGCCATTTCCTCGATAGTCATGCCAGGGACCTTCTGCATTCTTTGCCCCCAACATTCCCAAAGTCACCAACCACAGTTGCATATCTGGAGGCCTACCTGATCAAAGATTAGAGATACAAACATTTCATTGCTCTTCTGGGCCTCTTTTGAGATTAAGCTGACTGATGATTGTGCTTTAAATAACGTTTCCATGAAGTGTCCCATTGACAGAGCAATTCCATGGAAGTTATTTAATTTTCACAACCTTGTGAAGTAGGAGGTGTCATTATCACTATTTTAGAGGTGAGCTTAAGTGACTAGCATAGAATCATCTATAATAATAATGAAACATAATATGCTAATTAGACCGGATGTCCTTCCAGAGTTCTACTGGACGACCTTCTGGACATAGCCGGGCTGCAATGGAAGTCCGAGTCCTGGGTGCCAGAGGGAATTTCATGCATTGGACCTCTAGTCTATATATATAAAAGTCTAAGTGACTGACCGTCCAACCTTCACCCACCAGCCAGTACATATGATGTGTACTGGCAATTTAAAAATAGATGTTGAGTCTTGAAATGCATGATACATATAAAGAGCTCTTGGAATGGATATTATTGTAATCCCCAAGAAATGATTTGTAACTGCTATATTATTTTGAGGTTAGCTACCTTTGGAAATAGTATATCTATAGATAATATAAAAAATATATCTAAACATGCGATCTTTGTCCTAAAAATAAGCACATTCATAAATTAAATGAAGAAATTTTGGATATACTTGATGGAGATTTTTCACACCTACTTGAGTGATGATTCCATTGATTCAACATATGATGCTGTAAAGGAAAATTTCCCATCAAATTTCTTAATAGTATTACTCCTTCGGGAATGCTGTGTCATAAATTAAAATAGAAAGTGGGTGCAATCATCATACTACTGAGAAATCTTAATAGTAAATGGGGTCTTTGTAATTGTACTAGATTTATTATAAAAAGATTGTGACCTAACATAATCGAAGCTGAAGTATTCACGTGATCTGTGGAAGGAGAAATTGATCTAAGAACTGATTTGTCTCTGTCTGACACTGGACTCCCATTTAAATTAATTCAAAGACAGTTTCCCGTGATGCCAGCATTTGTGATGACTATTAATAAATCACAAGGACAAACTCTAGACAGAGTAGGAATATTCCTACCTGAACCCCTTTTCGGATATGGTCAGTTGTATGTTGCTTTCTCTCGAATTCGAAGAGCATGTGACATTAAAGTTAAAGTTGTATTAGTAAATACTTCATTATAAGGGAAATTAGTCAAGCACTCTGAAAGTGTTTTTACTCTTAATGTGGTATGCAGGGAGAAATTAGACTAGGTTTAATCAATTTATCAGTCATTGTTTTTATTTATGTTGTTTTTATATCATGTCTTTGTTGTTATTATGTTATTGTTTATTAATCAATTTATATATTATTTTCATATACATTTTACTAATTTTCTTTAATCTCTGACACTTACCATATATTATAGAGAAAGGGCAAATAGCAGTATTAAAATACTTCTAATTAATTTCCTTTCAATATGCACAAATCCGTGCACTAGGCTACTAGTATATATATACTGGTTGCTATGACACCCACTGTGGCCAGCAAACTGGCCTGATCAAGGGGTGGGGCCAGCAGCCAACCTCACAGCCCCTCCCCGCTGCCGGCCTGCCCCTGATGGACTCTCCCTTCCTGATCAAGTGCTGGGTCTGCTGGCCAAATGCTCCCTCCCTTTCGCACCCCACCTCCCTGCCAGCCATGCCCCCCTCAGCCTGTCCCACCATGATAGGCCCGCAGCCCTACCCCACTGCTTGCCCTCCCTTGATCACACCCCTACCCCAATAGGGGCAGGGCCCACTGGCCAATTGCCCACAGCCTCTTACCCCAGCTGGCCTGGCACTTATTGGGGGCCCTGATTGGGCCCTTATCAAGGCAAGCTGGCCAGCTAACCTCCTGCCAGGCCCAGTTCTGATCCACCCTGATTAGGGCTAGGCTGGCTGGACCCCACCCATGCACAGATTCGTGCAATGGGCCTCTAGTAGTTAATAAGAAGCAGAGTAATAATTTAATCTCAGATCCACCGGAGGCAAATTACTCTTGATTTATAGGCCTGGGATTGTGTAGAGTACAATATGTTTAAGATAGTGAGACTTCATAATACTTTGGTTTTTCGAAAATCCTCAGCAGGACACAGTCTCAGGCCAAGTGTGTGCTGGATATATGGAATGAGAGAAAAATGTACAAAGAAGAAGCAACCCTTGCTGGATTTAGAATGTTACTTGTAAAGTTTGGATAACTGTACAGCAAGCATGTCAAACTTGTGGCCCTCGGGTCAAATGCAGCCCACAAGGAATATTTTTGCAGTCCAGCCAATATAACGGTATGTTAGAAACATTTTCATAAAAATTTTATAATTTAATTTTCACACTATTCTGTTGTACATAATT